ACCCCCTAGTCTGGTGCAGGGTCACAGCGCATAGCTCTCAACACCCACACACGAGAGGATGACTTGATAACGCAAAAAGCCTGACGCCGCGCGATTTCGATGTATTGCTGCACCCTGGGGATTGGGGTGTGGATTGCCAAAAGCCGTCGCTTGCGTAGATTTACACATGATACAAAGACTCTGTCCAAAATCGTGTCAAATGCAAAGAGCATCCACATTTCTTGTTCGGCGTTCATATATTCAGATATTAAAGCTTATGGCATGTACCTCTCTCTGATGAAATTACGGGCATGAGCATGTGGAGGCACCGAGAAGAACTCGCAGTGGCGTCTGACTTTTCAGAGCATGTTGTTTATCGAGCAGAGAAATTTTTTTTCCAGTTTTCTGGAAACACGTTAAGTGGATAGATTACCTTGTGAATTGGATTTGGGTGCAAGGTGGTGCTCGATTGTGACACCGTGGACTTTGTCGATTCGTCCACATCGACACCAGGCTCAGTTGAACCAGAAATCTCTTCAACCATGTATTCGTCTTTACAACGACTGAACAATATCTCCACGTTCGTGACGACATGCCTACTGGCACTCTTGGCTGCAGTGTCCATGTCATCGTTTTTGCTGGCCACGAATCCCTCTGGTGCACTCGCCGTGTCACCTGTCCAAATGTAAGTCTTTTCTTTTCATGCAGGAATTTGAAGGAAAAAAAAACGCGTGTCGCCTTCGAACGCCTCAGTCCAAATGCATTCAGCACCAGGATTTCGGTCGCGAAAACTCGGCCACCTACGGCCGAGTTCTATAGCTACTAGCTCGTATGATCATGTGCGATGATAACCTTTGACGGAGGCGTATCGATAGGAGCGGCATCTAACCTTCGTAACGGTCACATATTCTAACCAAACGTGATCAGCGCACTCCGACAAACAAGTCCCTGGAGCCCCAAGAAAGAGGAAGCCGCATTCTTCGAGTTCTCTATTGACGCTGGTAAGACTTTCTCAACCTATCGCCACACGGACGCTCGTGTCAGGTCGCCCTCTATCTCTCGCCCTCCTTTCTTTTTATTTTTTTTATTTTGATAGTTACCATCATCTCCGCTCGCTACAATAAACGTCTCCTCGAAATCAAGCCTGATTTACTAAACGATAATACCTCCGCTCTCTCGATACCTTACTGCATCCGAATTTCTTTCACTAACTGCCTGTTTCTCAGACCTGCGTTCTCTATTCCATTGGAACACGAAACAATTATTCTTGTACCTCACCGCGGAGTATACAAATCGAAATGGGGTAAGTGTGACATCAACGCACCCAAATTTTTCTTCTCTCTTTATCGACCCTTTGGGTTCCCTTTACTCGCCGGCTGTCCCGATTCGCGGAGCACCAAGTCGAGCTCCCTCAGTCCTCTCCCCCCTCTCTCTATCCCGCCTCGACGACGACACACGAACACTAACAGATTTTCTTATTTGATTTTCACCTCGAACATCGACTATTGACCTGACCCTCCAATCCAATCCACCCCTGGGTTCTCATTTGGGACTGCTCCCGCGCCGACGCCATCAATTCACGTCATATTGATTCGCTCGTGCGCGCTCATCCACCCTTTTTGGCGCTGGTGGTAATAGTTGGAGAACGAGGTCGTGATATGGGACCGGATCGTTCGGCGAAAACAGGACGCGAGAATCAAAATCGAGAATGGGAAAAACAAGTATTATTTCAAAGAGTACTCTGGAAGCTTTAGGTGCGTTCACGTTCTTTATTCATTGTCGCCTTCCCCCCTCCTATCTCTCGTTTTTCTTTCCATACTGGGGAGCTTCTGCTTCGGCACGTTGCCACCGCCTCGTCGGCTCAAACATGACAAGCGCATCTCAGTCGCACAACTCGGTTCCCACTAGTCCTTGCTGTCCTGGTCCAATTTTTTCTCCCCCCTTCCTTGACTGTCAAAACTCTTTTCTTATTTCATTACTTGCTATTGAGTTACATTGCTGACTATTGTATTTGTGGGCTCGGCATAACAGGAACGTGAGTGATGCACAGTTTGTCCTGAAATACAACGTAATGCCGTGGGTGGGACCGTTGACGTGGGGAGAAGGTGGACGTACAGTGTCCAAGGTGCAGTTCCCATCCAAAAAGTAGAGAAAAGCGGACGTTGTGTGGTTGGTTGTGGTTGGGATTGCGCTTCTACAGGGCTGCGTCGTAGTGATGATCTATAAATTTATTGATAACCTTTTCTTGACGAGAGACAGGCAAGGATTGACCGAGTAAGACACGAGCCGTCAAAACACGAGAAATGATGCTGCTAGGGACGAAGCAGCAGGGAGAACCACCAGTAATTAGACATTATTGGACGTGTGTTGGTTGCATTCGTTAATACTACCATATCTAGCTTGGCCGTTTGGGTATTCATTCAAACGTGCACGCTAGTTTTTATTATTATTATTATTTGATGGGTTTGCGAGGGGATGAGTATTTCGTGCATAATTTATTGAGGAACCACCAAGCAGATGGGCCTGGCCCTAGTCTAACCCAAGAAGCAACCGAGCTGTCTAGAGGGCTACATCTCATCCAAAATAAGAAGAACTGAATACACTCGACGCCATTCCATTCAGTCGCCATTATTTTATTATTTATTATTTATTTATTTTTGCTAGTGATCGCCTTATAGAGTCCATCCAAGTCAAAAATGGGATTTCTGACATGTAGACTGAATGTGATCGTGTGTCCCCGCTTCTGCCTGAATAGAGTAATAAAAAATGGGAAATAAAAATATAAAATAAATTCCGAAAATGAGAGTATGGAGAAATTTGTATAGAGTTTGCTCAGTTTCTGATGTGTTTTTTGATTTCGAAATACTCGTGAACTCAGCCCGACCCTGAATGGGATTCCATTCACGAAACGCTGTATTCATTACCTCCATAAAGACACAAAAAAACACTACATCTCTTATAAAAAGTGCCCCTCCCTTCAGTCTCTCGCTTCACCCATTTTCTCCTTTACAGTCTCGCTCTCGCTCTCTCCTCTCTCTTTGTGCTTTTCGGTTGTTGATTTCGCCTATCTCACTCTCTACTGCCCCCCGTTGGATAACCCAAACGTCTCACATCGCATTCTACATGTTATCCAACGAGCTCGCACCGAACAGCACTACCTATCTTTGGTCGCCGCGTTCACCACCACCGGCGCTAGAATACAGCCAGCCACCATTCACCAGACAGCCTCCTCCTCATCCTCTAGACTCTTATCCATCAATGGATCAATTCCACAACAGCACACCCGATGCATCTCCTATCCAGTATGTCTGAGTCTCCTTTATCTTCCTTTGTGGCGCTCGTTTAGTGACCTCCGTCCTCTCCCCCCCCCTTCTCTCCCTTCCCATTGTCTAGCAGCCAGAACTCAGCCAGCGTGTTCATCCACCACCCTGCGCCATCTCGTTTAATCGAGACTTCGACACTCGAGCACGCTTCGACGAGCACGCCTGAGTTTTCACCGCAGGTGGCTCATTATCAGGGGCAGCAGCAGCAACACTACCCCCACCATCACCACCACCTCGCCTACCAATCCGTCACCCAACAACAGCACTTGCAGCAGCCGCACCACCAACAATCGCACCTCCCCACAGAAGGTTACGAAACATGGTCACATAACCAGTACGAACTCGTGTCTTACGAATCGGGACATCACGTGTACCAGTCATACGAGTATCCCCGAGTCAGCGCCCCTCCGGCCACCCCATACATGTACCCATCGACTGTACAGTACCAACCGCCTCACCATTACGAGTACGCAGTGCAGCCTGCGACGCCAGCGTACTGTGATCCGTATACCCAAGCACCCTATTACACCGCGAGCGCCTGTCCGCAGACCCCTCCGCAAGTTGACTATGTTGTGGTGCAGGATGGCGCTGCACGAGCTGTGCGCCCTCAGATCTCTGTCCAGACTGTAGCTGGGCCCTATGCTGGTCCATACACTCCCGTTTCGTCCAATCCGAGCTCGGGCAGCAATACTCCCCAAATGGTACACTGCGACCCGACGGTACCTCCTCAAGTGGGATCTAGGCCCGCTCTCTTCCCCAGCCGATACGAATATGTCAACGGGAACGAGTCTATGATCTCGCCTATCACGCCATCAACAGTCGCGACGGCACCCAACCTTTTGCTCGCACAACCGAGATTGCACTATAATGTGCACCACCAGCACCACCATCATCAGGATACCGCTCCCCATGTCGTTGACCACTGCCCTCCATCGCCCATTCGGCCCTCCGTCGAGGTCTCGTGCGCACCAACTATGGTCACCTCCTACACTCCTCCCAGTCCC